TCAGCAAAGTAAAAACAAAACTAGGAATTTACGATCGACTTTCACCTCCTCAGTAATCATCAACGAAATCCGAGTTGGTCGACGACAAGAGAAATTACCTAATAATAAAGAAATTACCGAATAACGCATTTTGGTGACAACTTCGCGGTTATGGAGACAACCTTTAGGGGCTCATTATAATCCCAACGCAAAATTACGCCGCATGGTGTAAATATGTGGTGCTGAAAATATTGTGATCAGCCGACCGGAGATTGGCGGTTCAAGGTCGCTCTAAATCTTCGGCCAGTCCGATGCCCACGGCCCCCAAATCTCAGTGTCGTGTTGCAAGTCTCCGATAGTTTTAAAAGCTCTTTCACGCGATCACGGAGCAAACACTATTTTACCTTCATAGAAGTGATGGGCAAAAATACAGACTAAACGTGCATTCTGAACCTGTAGAGGGCCGAGAGCCTCCTCTTCCCTAGAAGTCTACTTAGTCCTGCACAAGAAATGTAAGGGATTCCACTACATATGTGAAATATGTTCATATTTGAAATGGTAATTCTATCTATTTTTTTATAAGAACAGCGCTATTCTACTCTCGAGATAATTACATTGTTCAAAATTTCACAGGAGTGCCGCCCCCCCCCCCCCCCNAGAGTCCCATTTAAGGTCAGGGAACTCTTTCAAGCCTCCCTTTGGAGCTGGGGAAGGAACTCCACCGAACCTCCTCTTGAAGCTGGAGGAGTTCCACAAATCATGAGGCCCTTTAAGCCCTTCTTGATGAGATGCCCTTTTGCTCCCCCGCAATATGTTCCTATTTCAGATTTGCCAAACTAATTGCTCAACTTTTTAGACATCAGTCATTACTAGGCGAATACAACCATCGACTTCCGGAAGTAACTTTTTAATTTTGCACAATATTGGGAAGATAGCAGCGCGGAGTGATTAAAATATATCGTCTCTAAGCGATGCTCAGCCGTGCTGGGTAAAATCAACGTATAAGCATTCGAATGTTGCCAAACTTCCTATCAGAAAATATTAATCCTCGGAAGAAGTTATGAACAATTTTCCTTGAAATTTTCAGACATTTTAGATTAAATTTTAAGCGAAGCTCTCCGAAAAATCGGAAGATTCATACTTAAACTTTTCCGAAACTTAGTGATTTGTCAAAGGACATTTGGCAACGCCTGAAAACTCATACGACGTTTCCCCTTAGCACGGCAGTACTGATTTCTACGGTAAGACGGCAGGACGTGTGCTACGCATGAAACTCGACGAAAAGAGAGTAAGAGATGTTCCTCGGCCGGGTCCGGGAGAATTCGGTGGTTGGCGAGCGTGAAATGGGAGGAAAGGAAAGGGAAGGGCTGCTGCGACCACGGGCCGGAAATGACACTAAATTGTTTTTCAGGTTATGTAATGGATGCCTCCGTCCGACCGAGTCAATGCGCGAATGGACAGAATGGACACCGCATCACCGAATGACCGGACTGTCCTGCTGCGGAAGAGAACCGCGAGTTCATTTCTGTATGAGCCGTGGTTAGTATATGCTCTTATGGGTCTCGAGGTCCATCCCAGCCTCCACTTACGCCTCTCTTCCGTTACACGGCAGCAGAGCCGACGTGAGGAGAGGCTCGCTTCAATTGCCTCTCGTCCTGCCCAATGCCCGGTGCCCATCAAGGCACCCATTGTCCGTCCGCGACATCACAATCCGCGCTTTTACACTGCCGTGCTAAGGAAAAACGCCATATGAGCATTCGAATGTTGCCAGATCTCCTCTCAGAGAGCATCCATTTTTGTCGAGAGTTATGAATATTTTTCATGAGAATTTTCAGACTCTTTAGATCAAATTTCGATCAAAATCCTCCGAAAAATCGCAGGAGAAATATTCACACATTTTCTTGAAAATTCCTTGTTTTTCGAGGGAAATTTGGCAACGCCTGGTGGCTTATATGTCGTTCTTTCTTAACACGGCAGTACACATAACACATCGGCGCTGCACCGCGTTTTGGACTCATCTTGATTCCGTTCGGTCATCGCATCCCAAGATTCGATCGAAGATGACGCTATCGTCAGTTCCGTTGATGATACAAACTTTCCAACGACATGACTCGCACCTCACGATGGAGACCTGGCTCCCGACAAAGGGGGAGTACCAGATGATTAAAGGCATGACTGCCCACGAGTTCAACAGCTTTATACAATTCAGTATCAATCTTGACGGGGCATTGACTTGGAACATGGAAAGGGCAAGTTGGTGCGATATGCTCATTCTAACGATGAAGAGTATGTTGTGTAACAAGTGCCACCTTGTGTCATTGCGTCGTCACTAAACGCTAAGTAATTTTAACGGTGATTGATGAGGTTTCAGGAGATCCTTTACTTTCCATCATAAAAAGGGCGATTTGAACGATCTCGGGAAAAAGTCCAAAAGTATAACTTTGGGAATGGACCCTTGCAAGAGACTACAATGATAATTCGGAAGAAAAAATTCTACACTCTACACTGTAAAAAAAGTTACGAGCTATAACTATAGACATACAGTCCGTTTCGGGCTCAGAGGCCGAAAGTTCCGGGTGCCGGAGCCGTAGCTTCGGCTGCTCCATGTGCTACGCCCGGAACATGCAGCCTCTCAGCCCGGAACGCGAACGGTATGTCTTCAGCCCGTAAGTACACCTTCCACGGCCGGAGTTTTTTTTCTCAGTGTATGGTAGGTACAAACCTACCTTATTCCCAGTTCCGGCAAATTTTTCTCTTCTGTATTTTTAATTTTTTGTAAAGAGGAATAATTTTTGTTATCTCTTGCAAGGGTCTATTTGCTAAGTTATCATTTTTTCTTGACATCGTTAAAATTGACCTTTTCAGGATAAAACGTTAAGGATATCTTTAAACAGAGTTTCCCAGGCGCAGTGTGCCAAATGCGCTTGGAAATCGGGCTTCGGCGCCAAAGAATTGGGGTTGCTGGGCCATCGTGGCGACTAAAAACTTGACGCATCCCGTCGGATTTTTCAAACACACAATCGCGAAGCAACGATAGTGAGAGATGCGTAAGCAAAGAGTTAATTTGGCTCCTAAAAATTGGACCGCGTTTAGCAGACAGGAACCAGCCACATCAGCTATTGCCAATTCAACTAAGCAATTTAATTGTTTACAAGCGGACGTTTGTGCGGATTCCTTTGAAAATTTTATGGAATTTGCTTCGCACTATGCAGAAAATTCACTAAAATGTGCACAAAAATCCGCACAACCGTTATCATGTAAAAAATTAAATTGGCAATAGCTGATGTGGCTTGGTTCCTTATTGCTTCAGGCGGTCCAATTGGGCTATCCGGCCAGTGACATACAACTATTTGACCACGGCTGTAAGCATGTTGCAGCTTCGCCGGATTGAAGGCGCGTCAAACTGCGAAGATGTCTTGACCGCCCTGCCAACTCTGGCGGGTGGGACAAACGCTACAATCCCTGCGACACTTGGACGATGCGTCATTATTTATGACTCCCATCTAATTTTCAACATAAAACGCACAAATAACTATCGTAAAAGCTAAGATTTATAATCAGGGGCCGTGGGTTTTTTTCCGTAAAAAGAAAAAAAGAAAATGGGACTAATAATAATATCGCGACGAAATCTCCCGTGATTTCAATTAAAATCGTTCGTAAAATCATTGTAAATTTTTCAGAGAATCTGTGCGCCGACTTTTAATGAATATTCATTCAAATTGAAGCTTAAACCGTGATTTGCAACGTTGCAATCGAGGTAAATAAGCTCCTTTTCGCGTGGAACCATCGATGTTTGAGTTCGTTTACGGCAGGCGTGACATACAACTATTTGACCACGGCTGCAAGCATGTTGCAGCTTCGCCGGATTGAAGGCGCGTCAAACTGCGAAGATGTCTTCGCCGCCCTGCCAACTCTGACGGGTGGGACAAACGCTACAATCCCTGCGACACTTAGACGACGCGTCATTATTTATGATTCTTTACGTGTAAGGTGTCTCCTTAAATATTAGAAGTTATGCCGAACACTGTCCTTCAACCTTCCTTAATCACCACGTAAACCATATGGAGCTTCCCGAAGAAAGAAGGTCTTTAAGGAACCCTCGAGCCCCCCTGTATGAATACCCTCAGTGGCGAGGCGTAAATGATTGACTATCGATAATTCCCGATTGAAAGCTATGGTAAAGAATCGACTATTCAGGTGTTCGCAGCGAACACTTAGTTTATCGATATCGATCTTTTTCCATAGGTTTAAATGGCAGATCGGTCAATAAATCGCAATCGATATGTGCGTCACGTCTTCGTCGAGAGGAATAAAGGATACTTGGAACAAAGCGCCATGCCATCCTGTTCGCGGCGAATCCGGCGCTTCTCGGATTCTTTCCTAGGCGAATTTCAATTAACCCAGACGCACACCGCACCGTCCACTGTCTAATTAGAATTTTTATCTCCTGCCTTCCACTAGAAGAAGACAGACCAACCACAGACGCCGGAGCCGTAAGCATGCGTTTCGACGTGCAGTTGGCGGATGTCGTCGTCGCGTCGGCGTAACGTGTGGACAGGGAATGACGTTGCCAAATTTCACACAACTTCCACCCGAAAAAATTTACGCGGGTGGTGGACATTGGGATGGTGAATCGGATAATAATTATGATGTACCATGACTATTAAGGTGATTCCTCTCAGGACGTAGACAAACATCGATATATCAAACACATTTTGTTGAAATACGAGTTGTGCTTTTCACTCACTTTGGGTGTTTCTCATCGTACACTTGTCAATGGAAAAACTCATATTCACAACAATCATTGTTACAGTCTCAGATTACTGCATTCCGATTCCGAAGTTTTCCTTGGGACGCAAGGCAGATTTTTTTAACCGCGCTGAACTATGAAAAATTCCTCCACTAAGGACATGGGCTAAACTGGGAACCTTTTGTGGCTGTGGTGGTAGGGGGGGGGGGCAGA